TGATGGAGATTAATGTATGTGGTAAAACTTTTAAAATAGTCTCAATTTATCTGCTGAATTACCCACACGCCTAACCACTATGGCACTTTACATCGGCTACCACGTCCGTCGCCGCGTCTATATCTTAGGAGACCGGGGTGCAAATACTAATGGAACCCCTTTAAAAAAATGTGCTCTACGTAACACATTTATTTTTATTTAATTTCCATAATAATTTTATTATTTCATTTTTAATTTTAATTTTTAGTTGTATAGCCTTCCCTGCACACTCGCTATACCCATAAATGACTCAGTCATTGTAGAATATTTTATGATATACGAAATCTTTGATCTCATATCAAGTGATAAGTGCTACAAATTTAGAATTCTAGAGTTACAAATCAGTAATTATAATATTCTGAAATAATGGAATAACAAACATTCTGTAAATATTAATAATGATTACAATACATTTTTAGTATACATTTAATTATTATTTTCAAATAAAATTAAAATTATGTATTTTTTATAAATTGTTATATTTATATGGTTTATTTTTACGTAAAATTTATTGAAAAATAGATCTTGAATCGCAGGTGTAGGTACAAGGGGAACTATGGGGGCTAAATTCTTATGACATTATGTTGAACCATGTCGAATGTAGGTAATTCAAATATTTAATATATTCTGCGTAAGAAATACTTCGTACAAATCGACATGCGCAACGAATCATGGCAAGAACTCACTCTACTGGTCACCCTCTATTTTCTTAATATTTTATATATTTCTAAGCGAAAATTGATAATTTATCCTTTCAGTGTACCATTATTCTCTCGGGGAGAGTTGATACTTAGCGTTAATAAACCACCGTGACTGACGTGTACTTATCCAAGTAGACTCGTTGTCATCTGGAGGGACGCACAATGCGTGAACATAAAAACATAGTGCGCGGGACACGGCACACGGCACATGCAATGTTTACACATAATTGATAATAAAAATGTATATTATAATTTTTTTTTTTAACTGTGGGAGAAATATTCAACCCGCAGGAGTGGTAGCTGCCCATCCTGTCCTCTCGTGCTTATGCCTATGGGCATGCCTCCGTGTTAGGTCAGCCAGCGATGTGATTGCGTCGTCATCAGTCGCATGAATACATGTTGGCTATTTCACGTTTTTATGTTTTTCCGGTTTTGTTTCGCGTATTCATTCAATTCATGCTCTCGGTGTCACAAAAGTTTCGTGAGTTCGGTTGTTTTCATTTTATTGCGGTGACACTGAGGTATTTTATCTTCGTTTTGGTGTCCGATGGCCATAGCCTTCTTGGTGAATGTCTAATTCCTTTTGTCCGCCGTCTTACGCAGTCACACAAGAATGTTGGTAGACCGTATTTGTTTCATTTCACAGCCGACGGGCCTATAGCCGTCATAGGTTTATTATTTTATATATATTTTGCCAAACAGGCAAGTGTTATCAAATACGGTCCACTTGCAATTTTTTACTATTATGTTATTATTGTTTACAATTATTGAAAAAAATCTATTAGACGGATTTTAAGTATGTCGGCTTACAACATTTTATGAAAATTTGTAAAATTTATTTATTTCCAATCAAGTGAAATATACTTCTATGAATATGCATTTAACGAAAAGTATAGTACTGGCTCGTGTGACAAAGCTAAGGGATTTTCGAAGCATTTACGAATTAATTTCATTAAACATCCAATAAGGATATGGAACATGACGCCTATTATTATGAATCATCGTGTATTTCATGTATTTATTCATTCAAACGTTTCAGGCTAATCCAATATTGATTTGTCAATCGGTTAACTAAGGTTATACATGCACGGTTTTTACATAAATTTTGCCGAAATCAATTATAACTATTTATTACTTTTAAGCGGTTGACAAAAACGACAAACTCGTTTCGTGGATTAACATGTAAATCTTTTATTTACATAAACCAACCAGGTATCGATGCCGAAGAGTGTGGCGTAATGCAAACGTTATTCAACTAGTTATTTTGCCGTCGTCGCAAGACGTTATATGGGTATAAAATACACATACAATGTCTTGTAGTATTGGTTTATCTAACGTTAACATCCTTACATCTGGTGTGGTCGTTGTGTCGAGACTTTTAAATTTACCTAATATGCATTATGTACACACACACACACACACACACACACACATAACCGTACATATACACACTCAACCTTGGCATTATTGTGTACTGATATAAATGCTTATTAGCTTTATATGCACATAGGATGTTATTTTTTTATCCGCCTAAATCGTTTTATTATTCGCATAATAAATCTGCGACGTGTATACTTGCTCAATGGTGTATCTAGGACAGTAGTAGAATATCACGAAGGAAGTAATAAATATTTATACGAGAACATAATTTACATGTTTAATGTAAATAATTTTTTTTTAACAAATCATAATACTAAGTCTAATTTCTTTGAAAATAGATAAGGATATTCACTACTTCATCAGGTGTGATGTTTATATTTTTATGTACAAGTATGGAATGCTAGTCCATTTAGTTGTTTTTAAACAAAATTTGCGGGCCTTTATAAAATACAGTACATTTTTTATTAAGATTTACCCGATCCATTGGGTTCCCAGATAAGTTTTTACGCGTTTGAGAGTATACAAGTTCTATTGGAATGGTTGTAGAGATGGGTAGTAAACGTATGATGTTGATTTAAAATCATGCAGCAAGTAAGCGGTTCGTAAAATATGAGATAAAAACTGTCGACCATGAAAACATTTTCATTTCATTTTTAAAACTCTAACCATTATTATTTTTAATATTTTTATTTAATATCGGTTTATGTTTTAAATTTGCCAATTAAAGCTCTTCGCAGACGACTTGAAACTTTATCATAGGTACTATTCTTAACATTCAATGAAAATTACTGTTCTACTCTTCAAGAATATCTTTATTGGCTTCTTGAATAGTTAATAAATAAACTAAAGCTCAATGTTTCAAAATATGTAAATCGTTCTGGCACCCGCAAGTCGACCAATCGAATCCCGGATCAATTTTATTATTTTGTACCCGAATTGTATCCATTTGAATCCTCCTTAAAAAATATTGCTTACTCTTCCTCTTGACGTAAAACCGAATTTTAAGTACAGCTACTGTAAAGATGTCGTCCTGGCATCCTTGGTACCCCCGATGGTCCAAAAGTCGATACATTGAATCCGGACCGATTTCATTTTTTTAATATTATTTATTTTTTGGCTAGTAAAAAAATATCGGATGCTATGCTAAGTATCGATATGTTTTGGTACGTAGATTCCAAACAGTTTCAATAATTTAAAATCTTAAATTATTTTTTTAAACTAAAAGTCGTTGTTTTTAACCAAAGTTGTTTTAAACCAAAAGTCAAAAGTTTAACCAAATGGCGAACATCAAACAAATTGAAAAGAAAACGAGGGCGATAACAGTGCAATCGCAAACCGACCGGCTAAATAAATCTTTGTACTGTTTTAGGGAGCCAGAAACCGAAGCACTAGCGAACTTCGGTAATTCTATAATCGGCCACGAAATAGAAGAACTTCGCCGTTGTACAAAAGAACAACAATCGATTATTGATGCTATTGATGTTACCGGTTATGTAAACGAACTCGAGAAGATTCGAGAACAAAAAAAACAGGCCGAAAGTATTGAAAATTTAATTTTCGAACAAAATCTACTAAACAACGAGTTAGTCGAACTGAACAAAGAGCTGATTAAGTCGTATCGCTCTCAAAAAGAACTATCTCAACAACTTACCAACCTAAAAATGGAACGGTATGTGTTAAACCATTTGATCAAATCTACGATCGAAAATAACGATAAAAGTAAATAGTTAATAAAATGGTGAGTTGTCCTGGTACCCGCAAGTCGATCGATGGAATCCGGATCAATTAAATTATTTTGTACCCGATTTGTATCCATTTGAACCCTCCTTAAAAAAATGTTATACCCCTTTCCATTCGTCGTAAAATTGAATTTTTTAAGAAGGGTTCTCAAATAGATACAAATCGGGTACAAAAAAATTAAATTGGTTGAGATTCTATCGATCGACTTGCGGGTGCCAGGATAACTCACCTTTTTTAAATGTTCATAATTATTTTTTTGTTGAACGAATTATAAAATTTTAACTATATAATCAACGATGATTTATTAACAAATAGTACTATTATTCATTATCTTAGTATGACCTTTCAATCTGACCCTTATTTTTCTACTTATACTAAACAAATTTATTTAAAATCTATAAAAATCTGAGGATTCTTAGTTAAATTGTTTTCATCCTTTACGGGATATTTACTGTCTAAATACTTTATACTGTGCTTTTATCTGTCCTATATTGGAATTCGAATCTACCGCATGGTGCCCGTTTTTGTCTAGCTTTATTGAAAAAAATCAAAAGGGTACAAAGAAAATTTTTGCGATACATAGGGTTTAAAAAAAATAACATCAAATAATGAAAAAATTTGTAATAGAAACTATATTAAAAGTATCATTAATCTTAATCTCTTATTCACTTTTAGTAAAAATGCTGATATATACTTACTCTCTGTATAAATTAGTGGCTAAATAAATTATTCCTCTATTTTAGAACGTATTTCTTTTACTGTATCTCAATATTACCTACGAACAAATCATAGCTTATATACCCAAAACCCACCGTAATATATATGGACAAAACCATTCGGCTGAAAGGATTTTGAGACTGGGAAATGAGTAAAGCTTAGTCTTCATTCATTCTGATTAGAGTTAATCGGTTAAATAATTGTTAAATCTGTTATAATTTAGACAATATTACTAATGTAATTATTATTATACGTAATGTTATTTATCATACTATTATAATGTATGTAATTGTATATTGTTGTAATTATTTTGTACTTGAACAAAATTTGGTGTTTATTTCTATAAATAAAATAAAAAATAACTACCTCGATTTAAATTATTATTTTTTTTTTAGTATTGAATAATTTATTTACATCTTATTCCGGTATAATATTTTGGACACGACCTTCTTGCCCAAACATTAATACGTCACTTTACATAGATACAATTTGTATACATTCATGTAAAATAGTAGTCATCAGGAGTTGTAATAGTATAGTTTAATGTATATGTGTAACTTCAACATTGTATTATAATTATATGTAAACAGCAGCCGAAATGTTTAGACAAGGGTTTTCGCGAGCAAATACCGCGTAGTGGGCGTACCCGTTAACATAATTTATACTTATGGTTTCGGATTATGTTTATATTATACATATATCGCAATATAAATAAAAATTATACTTAATCACGTAGGTACTCGCAGACACACACAAAAATCCAGTGGGCAGATATTATATGTAAACGAGCTGCTTTAATTTTTGTGGTTTATTATTATCTGTAATTGAAATCGGATTAAATGTAGCTTATCAAATCGTACTAACTAAAGATTCGAAGATTCGATTTAAATACGAAAACATATTACAGCGGCCAAAAAACGATTTCAAGTGAATATTTAAGCCGTAGAGATTATTTATTTTGTATTTATATTAGTTTAAGAATAATTTTACTTGATACATAACACACGTATAATAAAATAAATAAACAGTTTTTTCATAATATTTATAATTTAAAAATAATATTATTCTGATTTACTTATTAATTTATCCCTGGAACAAAAAATCATTGGGATTTTATAAACTCATTTTGTGATTGATTAGAAAATATGATGGTTGATAACGAACAATATTTTTAAATCTATAAGATTTGAATAATTTGTTATAATTTCAAAAAACAACTAATTTCATCGATCATAAAAGAACTTTAAAGCACTCGAGCATAATATTAAATAGATTCTTTACGAAATGTTGTTTTAAGTATAGCATGGTTGTTATAGAAAAAGTCGAATATTATGATTCATTATATAATTCAAGTCTTAGAAACAAAAACAACAAAAATTATTCATCCAACTAGAGGAAATAAACAAAATCTTAATGAACAGCATTTATGATAAATGTTCGTAATTTTTGCCAAGATGCTAAAAAATACAAAATTTATGCTAGAAATATATCTATAAGCAATTAAATTAATATTAAATAAACACAACTTTTGTATTACGGATAAATGGATATTGTTTCAACAATTTATTGTTTGATTTTAATATTATATTACAATATAACAATATTAATGATATTAACAATAATATTCAAATTTTTCATATTATTAGATTTCTATGCCATTTAATTACTTTTTAATGAATATTTTTAACTATCTATTTGATTCAAATGAGTTTAATAGTTTTCGTAAAATTAAAAGTAATTTTCAATTGGTGGATAAAAGTAATAACTTGCTAGTTCAAAAGTAAAATAGTTATTTAATAGTTATTTTGAAACGAATGCAATATATTATATTACATAATTTGTTTCACGAAACACTTTTGGGTATTAATAATTCAATCAAAATATCAAAATTAAATTAGCCCTGAGCAATGAATAGAAATCGAAAAAATACCAATAATTTTGTGGTTTACGTAAGATTATTGTGTAACTGAGTTACATAAAAGGGGAAAAAATATAAATTTATCAAAAGATTCTGGAACGGATATTTGTCTATTGTAGAAAACTCGACCAACGGAGCGTATAATTATTATATAATTGTAAAATCAATGATAACCGTCGATTTTGGAAAACTAATCTCAGCCAATGTGCAAGATATAAAACCTATTTATAAATAATTGAACGTCTTAACTTTTACAACCATAACGGAAATATATCGCGTAATAATAGAATATATATATGTTTGTATATGAATTCAATTTCCGATGTTACGAAAGTCCAAGCATGATATTTTTAAGTAGATATTCGAATCAAAAATGTCAAATGGAAGATTAATTGAAAACAATCATTGTAAAATCAATATATTCTTTTATTCGGAATACTTTACAATAATTAGAAATACTAAGAAAACTTTGAGAATGTTATAGTACTTTTATTAATGCCAATAATACTTTTATTTTTTGTTCGCTTTAATAGAAAATGTTACTAATCAAAGAGACCTGATAATAGAAATATTTCATCGCTGGAAACTTGACGTTAATACTTAGTAAATTCGGTATCTCACAGCATTGTGTTTCTAACAATGCATAATTTTGAAACCTTGTGAAACTTAATGGAAAGTTATATAGGAATCAAAACTTTCAAATTATAAAGAGAGCCGACACATAATGCAAACGCTCTAAAAAGTAGATATTATTCGGCCGTAGGACAATTATAGTATAACACTCCGGATAAAGGACGTGTATTTATAAATAAAGAAGAACATTGAATGCTTTACATCGTTTTATTTTCTGATTTTGAAACAAAAAATATAATATTAATATATTTTAAATTAATGTATCTAACTTTAAACTGAATTCCAAGTAAATATTTCTCATTTTATACATTTGTATACCTTTTTATGTTGTTACTGAACATAGTTATTTTTATTAATATTAAGAGATTTTTTCTTTTTCTTTTAACTTAATTTTTAATTTCCATTTAGGTATTAACTATATTATAAATTCTTTATTTGAGCACTTTGTTTGACTTAACCGTTTTTAAATTCAACCATTGCTCTTACGAAAAAGAAAAAAAGAAAAAAAAGATGGTTAAGATATCAAGCGGTGAAGAAAATAAAGTGCTACTAAATTTGGTCGATTAACAATAAAAAAATATGTTTTATTCTCAACATTTACAGTATAGTTGATTTCCAAGGCAAAATAAAAAATTATGTTTAGAGCAAATGTCTTTATAGTTTACTTATTAAATAATAAATTGTTTATTTAAAATGTTTATTATGTTTACTTTACTATATTTTATGGATTTCCTCGTGTCCGTGGTTTCACAAACTTAATTATGAAGTTAGCAAACCTTTAAGTTTGGAATGGTTATTTATTGACCACTTGACACTTAAATGGAAACATTAAAAAAAAAAAAAAAAAATGTTACTTTAATTTGGGCAATAATTATTCTCATTTTATATTCTCTCCCATGTAAAATATTATTCTCACAATATATTATTAATCTTTATTTTCCTTCTTCAACTTTTCACGATTTCCTCTTTCATATATTATCCAGTTGGTACTCTTTCGGCTTTGTTGTATTCAATGAAACGGTTTTTAAGAGAATAGTAATAACGGCTCAAGAACAATGGGGTCATTGCTGCCATCACTCTTCATAATTCAAAAGTATTTTAATCAGTGGATAACTCAATCAGCGAGGTAAAAAAATAAACTAAAACTTTGGCACTCATAAAACTATTGAACAATTGGATCTCAATAGTACAATTAATAATATATATTACAAGTCTTCATTGGTCTACGTTAGCATACAATTATTAAGTATTATTATTATATTAATGAGATAGTATATTTTATGTGATAAAATACGATTTATTCAGTATACTTAATGTGTCATTATTTTGACATAATTGTAATGGCAAATGCAGCAACCAAACATCACATCATGTTAAAATAAATATTTTTTGTAACCTATAATCTCAGCCTAAAAAATGCTTGTATCAAATTGTACTTGTTTTGTTTCGGACTAGAAACATAAAATTGTAGAAACACAAAATCCATTTTATTTTATCATATAGTTTTATTAATAAAATGATTTAGTTGTGCAAAGTAATTTTTAACGAGTTAAAGAAAATTTAGTGTCATAAATATTAAGTTAAATATCATAGTGACTACTTTTTCACTTAAAATGATATTTTAATTATTAGAAAATATAAATTGAAAAATAATTTTCTGTTTTAATATTAAACAAAACTCTAAGTACGATTATATCCCTACCATAAATAAATATTAAA